CACGAATAATTCTTTCTTTGAATTTGTTTCTAACTCCACTTGCCCATTTTTTTAACGGATATGGTTTTGAGCTCCCATGTAACAAATGTTTTTTACCTTGGCAACATATTTAGCAACACAATTTCGTCTTGTTAACTAAATTTAACCTAATTTAACAATGCCTTGCTAAATCTTTGGTATTTGCCTATATATGAGCTACAAACGTTTTGTTGCAATCACCTATGTTAGAGCATGCCCATCTGTAAGCTTTTGATGGGTATCTTATTAAACAAATATTAAATATAGATAAAGGAGGAGAGAGAGAGAAATGAGAATCTCTATAATTTTTATAGGAAGAACCGTTTCACATGTTTTTCAAAAAAAATTTGCCAATTGTCTTTATATAATTGGTTGGGAGTGTTATTAATAATTTAAATTTTAAACAAATAATTAATTATTTTTAAAACTATTAAATAAGAGACTCATATTTTGTCTCACCGTTGTGGATGCTCTTAGGTTCAGATTTTACCACCGCTAAGATCAATTGTAGAAAATAACTAAAGTAGAGATGGGCATAGCCTAACTAAGAAAATGGACTCGGAAGCCCGACTGGGGGAGTTGGACATGGCGAGACCCGAGCCAAAGGAAACAGATCCAGAGGAACCCGAGCTGGCGGATTTGGGCTCGGTGGAACCCGAGCTGAAGGAATTGGGCTCATTGAAACCCGAGCTGAAGAAGTTGGGCTCAACGAAACTCGAGCTGAAGAAGTAATGATCCATGGAACCCGAGTTGAGGAGGTTAGGCTTGGTTAGACCCGATGTGAAGATAGAAGTCCCAAGCTGCGGAACATGGCTTGTCGAACCCGAGATGGAGACAGCCCATATCCATGATGAGCCACGAGAGTCTCAAGTACAATGGGCGAAGTGGAAGCCCATAATATCGAGCCGACTTAGAAGCATCCGAGAAGAAAGGAATTTTTTGAAGAAATAGGAAAATTTTCTTTTTTTTTTTAAGAATGATCCTAACTAGTTTAAGAATTCTATACATATTCATATACATCCCTTAAAAATGAGATCAATAGTAAAACTCTAGACTTTATGTTCTTGAATACTTGTACAAAAAGTTTTATAAAACAACCTTAATAAAACATCATCCTTGGATCTTTGTTTGTAGTTTTAAGTCCCGCATATTCCGTTGTTACTATTTAAGTTCGTAACTATTATTAAGTTAGATTCGGCAAGAAATCACTAAAAAATCCTATAAATTTTGTAATTCAACAAAATTCAGCTGGATTTCATCAATTACCGGCCCTATATATCATTTTGGACATATTTAGTCAAACTTCCTTCATTTAGATATACACTTGATTGCTCTCGTGTTATAGCATAACATTTTTTATTGGTTGTAAAAGGAACAAATATTCTAAACCAACAAAATAAGGCTCTAAAATCTGTAGCATTTTTCAAGTCAAAGTCAAGACAGAAAAATACACTTGTTTCCTAAAACTATAAATTATAGCATAAAAGAACTACTCTATATTACATATTTTTAATCTGAAAATATATATAATTTATAGTTTTAAAATTAAAATATTTATAACTGAAAAGGAAACCAAGCAAAACTTATACGTAGAGTGTACATATCTATGATACATGCATTCAACGTTACATGAATATTTAGTCATATTCCTTCTCAAATACACATCTTGTTCAAATCTATAAATGGGGAACCAATATGCATTGTAAATTCTATCTAACTATCCCACATAATACTACAAAAACAAAACCATGGTTTTCTCCAATAAGCCTTATTGCATACTGATGCTGTTTATGATTCTATTTACTCTTGTTCTTTTTGCATCAGCGTTAGATGATGTCTCATATGCAGAAGCACCAGCACAAAGACCGGGCCACAGCACCTGGTTTCTTACCTCTAGCAGGAAAGCATGTCGTAGTCCACAACGTTATACATACCAGACAAACACTATATATACATTGCAGATCTAGTGAGGATGATTTGGGTTTGATCCATATCCCTTGGGATAAGTCTTGGGATTTTAGATTTCATGTTAACATGTCTAAAACTACCAGGTTTGTTTGCCATCTTGCGTGGTTAGGAGGTGGATTTCATAACTTTACAATATTTAAAGTATCGAGAGACGATAGTGCATTTGGACAGATTCCAATTTGTAAAGAATGTATTTGGGAGGTTGGCAGAGACGATAAACTCCCTATGTGTCGTATGACTCGCGATGGATCAGAACCAAATTGTTTTAAATGGGACGATTAATAGTCGTCTTTAAGAAAGAAAAAAAACACGATCCTTATTGTATTACTATCATCTTAATAAATGTTACAATAAAAAAATGAATGAATCAAATAATACATTTTTTATGTTTGAATGTTTTAAGCTTTCTTTCTTTGAAGTTGTTTTGTATCCAAGAAGTTAATAAATTTCTAACTCCATTTTCTCATTGTTTAATGGATATGGTTTTGAGCTAGCTATATTCTTAAAAAGTTGATGAGCCAATGATTGAGTCACCTTAATTCTCAAAATAGATTATAGGAAACAACCACATTAGAAGCCTATACAGTAACAACAACAATTACTCTGTTCATGACTCCAAAACTAAAGTTTCAAATGAAGCACCAACAAGAAAAAGATTGAATGTCAACTCTGGCCAAGAATCCATGTGTTTAATTTGTTTTATCCTCAAGTCTCGAGTACCCGAAACTCCCTTCTGACCACCTAAGTTCAACATTGTACAGAACGCACTTAATTTTAGTTCCAAAGTGGACCATCCTTGAAAAGTCTCAGCTTTGCACTCAACTCAAGAGCTGTCTGAGATTTTTCACCAACGCATCTCATTATCACCTTCGAGAATTGGAGTTTAAGCCTCCTTTAAGCACCCAAAAAAAACACTAATCCCAAAAGCAGAACCAAACCAAGTAGAATGTCGTCCAGAAGACATTTACAAAAATACAAAAATGTGTGGGGTCCCCATGTTTGTGGGATCCACAATTTAATGAAAATA